CTCTCTATGTGTGTCTCTCTCTCTCTCTCTCTCTTTACTCTATATGTCTATATCTATCTCTCTCTCTCTCTCTCTCTCTCTCTCTCTCTCTCTCTCTCTCTCTCTCTCTCTCTCTCTCTCTCTCTCTCGCTCTCTCTCTCTCTCTCTCTGTGTTTCTATTTCTGCCTCCATTTCATTTCACCCACTCTCTCATTTCATGGCGCCCTACCTCTTTCTTCCTCTATTACTTTGTCTCTTCCTCCTCTCTTCATTATCTCCCCCCTCTCTCTCCTCTTCCCTCGCCCTCTCTTCATTTCTATTTTCGTTTAGACCCACTCACTGTAATGCTCCAAGGGCGTGAACTAAAATATATCGCTATGGGGGCTAGATGGGAGGGTGGCAGAAAAATGAGAGCTAAGATGTTTCATGGGCGGCACATGCGAACATTGATCATTTGCCATTTGCGTATTATATGAAATAAAAGTGTTTTGAGACTATGATAAAGGTTTTTTTTAAGTAGATTAATTAGACACAAACACTGTGTGTAAATGAAACAATATATTATGTTAAGATTTTTATTACGGTTACACAAATTAAACATGTAAACGTTTCGGCGTAGGCCTTCACCAGTCGAACAAAAATATTCACATATTCTAGTACTAACAATTTCACAGGACAATTAAAAAAAAAATATTTTAGCAGACAGAATAAAATTTATTAACTACTTATAAAAGCGGTCCACTGCGACAAAGCTTTTAAGTATATATTAATGAGACACACGTGGAAGTTAAATGAATACTATGTTAAGGAAGTAACGCTTTTGTTGTTGCCAGTTCATTATAATAAAATTCACCTACACATAATTATTCTAGATCGACACACTTAATACGGAAAATCAACATTTTGTTGTTCAAATAATAGTGACTAATACTTTATTACACGTGATCACAATAACAGTTAATGATGAAATAGGTCGTCATCTCATGCCGAAAACACTGAATCAGAAAACACTTGGAATGCATCATATGGATTTCAATCCCAGCTTCTCGGTAAACTTCTTTACTGGATTAAGTGTTATCACACTATAAATCTTCATTTGAAACATAAATTTATTTATAATTAATCTTCTTTATTTATAATTAATCTTCCTACACAAACTTCGCGAATTCCACTGTCATATTATTCAACCACCATTTCTTGTTTCACTCCTTGCTCTCTTTTCTAATTGGCCAGTTTTTTTATAAGTCCCAATACTCTGTGAATTACATAAGTAATAACTCCCATATTACTTATCTCCCATATATTCATATATGTGACAGCATTCTTACCAGTATTTTTCTTCATTATAAGAAATCAAGTTTACAGCAGTCAAGAAGAAATAATAAAAAATGATATTTCCCACTTTATTCTGCATTTTAAAATCATGTTTGTACAACGTCTCAGTGTTTTACGGGCAACGTAGAGTTCTTACAGACATTTACCAACATCCTAGAGTTCTTACAGACATTTACCAACATCCTAGAGTTCGTACAGACATTTACCAACATCATAGAGTTCCTACGGACATTTATCAACATCCTAGAGTTCCTACGGACATTTATCAACATCCTAGAGTTCTTACGGACATTTACCAACATCCTAGAGTTCCTACGGAAATTTACCAACATCCTAGAGTTCTTACGGACATTTACGGACATCCTAGAGTTCCTACGGACATTTACCAACATCCTAGAGTTCTTACGGACATTTACGGACATCCTAGAGTTCCTACGGACATTTACCAACATCCTAGAGTTCTTACTGGCATATACGGTCATCCTAAAGTTCTTACAGACATTTACGGAAAGGCTATTTGATATCAAATTGTATGGCATTTCCGTAAATTTACGGGTGATTGTCTATCATGCCACTTCCACAAGTTCCCCGAGGAACACAGTTTATGTACTTGCTATTTCGTAATTATTAATATCAACATTTCAATTACCATAGAATCAATGTTACCATTCTATTCCCGCAATGTCAATTTTTAAAAAAAAAAATTTTTTGTTTAAAGCGTTGATTTCCCTGCTTCACCTTTCTTTTTCTTTTTCTTT